AGTAGCAGAGTCTAAAGCTTTACTGAAGTAAGTTTGTATGACTTAATGCTAGTCCTTCCTTCCCTCCTTCCTTCCTTCCTTGCTTCCTTCCTTCCTGCTTCCTTCCTTCCTTCCTTCCTTCCTTCCTTCCTTCCTTCCTTCCTTCCTTCTATCTTTTCTTTCTTCCTTCTTGCGTTCCTCCTATACTTCCATTTCCTTCTTTTTTATATATTTCCATCCTTTTTTCATTTTATCGGTTGTTTATTTATTTAACTATTGATACCCTGTGTTTGTTCAGCCTAGAGAGATCTCDTCGTATCCAATCAGCAGACCGAGACTCAGGGTTTGTCACAAGTCCCAAGTATTCCCAGGACCCGTTAGGTAGTTTCTTTAGCCGATCACCAAGAAGTCCAACGAGCAGACCCTACTCACCGGTAAACTAACAGACATGCTTTTTAAGGATTATTAATTTTTGTAGCTGGGAAGGGTTGAAATAATCTACCTGGACTATCAAAAAAAGACTTTCCTTTCTTGAAAAGAAAAAAATATATCGTGACCCCTACCCATTTTTAATGGAGGTTCTGTAGGACAACAATGGTTGATAATCAGATGTACRAATACCTTACTTCAAGTTTGTTATTTATCTGACAGGGAGACGATAACCTCATGAAGGCCGTAGAAAACGAGTTAAATAGAAGTATCAAGCGACATCTAGAATCAGGTGAGTTTGTTTCCTTTTCTCTTGATCATTGAACTTCAAAAAGACCTTATATGCTATTCAATAAACAAAGCTCACTGGGGTCTAGCTTTTTAACGAAATAAAAGGGGGGGGGGAAAGAAGATTGTCGGCGCACGCGTGAAGACTTCCTGTTTTCGACATGTGACAATTGGAAATTTATTAGACCACCCCCTTGCCGCTTCGTATATTAATTTCACTTTCGCAATAAACAAGTACTAAACTAGGATTATAAAAAAACACAACTGTGGAAGGTAAGACCAGTTCTGGACTTGACCAAAATGTAACATGATCTAAGAAAGGTCTGCTTTTTCCCCTAATTTACTAGCTGTAGTTTGAGGTGATATTCAGGGATGCATTGCAAACAAAAGCAAGAGAGAAAGATTCCTATTGCTTGGCTTTAATTGTCTTTCTACCGTTGCTAATGGTTGCCATTTTATTTTAAAGGACCAGTCACGACTGACCTTGACCTTCGACCAACACCGCTGACCATAAGTGATGCAGAATCAGGCTCGTATCCTCCCCTTACGAATTCATSAAAGGAATATATGTCTCTTCTTAAAAAAAAATACTTCGTATAACAAAAAAATATGCAATATGAAACTATGCAATTTAACATGACGTCATCATCGATGCAAGCAATCAATAAATATTACGTCATCGATCACACATACAGCCAATTATTTAACATGACATTATCCAAAATACGACCCGAACCATTTAATGTTGCGACATACCGTAGGGCCAACCTTATGATGTGACGTCATCACGCCATACGACCAATCTTTAATGTCATCACACGATACATACGTCATTATGATGTCATACATAGGTTAAAATATCAATGAGTTATGAGTGAAGCAAAATTTTGAATTATATTTGTTTACAAAGCTTAATTATTCGTTTTCCTTTTTCATACTCTAAAAGTATTCTACTTCCATTTTTTTTTTCTTTTAAATCTTAACGAGTCTTGTATAGCAGACCTTCTCAGCTTAGGCGTAAAGTTTTCCCTTTTCAGAACGTGTTATTCCCTAGAGTATCAATTCTTTGTTTAACGGTTGTGAATGAGAAGACACATGAATATGGATACGGCTCATAGAATTTTATTCTCACGAGAATGACAAGCGTTCTGAAATTGGTTTTTTTAAAGCTCTTGGAAATTGCAAATTTAATCGCGATAATTGTTCCATGCAACAACAAATTCACAAATTAAAAACAAGCTATCCATCTCAGTAGTAATTTTAAAATGTGTTGTTTTAAGAATTAATTTCAAATTTTTAAATCTTTTTTTTTTTTTCCATTTTATGATTAAAATTTATTCTAACTTAAGGTGGCTGATTACTTTGGTAAATAATAAACAGAATATTGAAACTTTTTTAACCTGAAATTTAATGCTGATTTCAAAAATGCAAAGAAAAATGGGTTGTCCTGAGCTTGTTTTTGAGATAATCACTCCGGATTGACATGCGTTTGTGGAAGAAAAATAGCGAAAATCAAGCTCTAGGAAGGAACACAAGTAATTTTCTCCGAACACGAAACTATAGTTATAAAACACTGATAAAAGTTTTTTTAATAAACTATTGTAGACAATGGAAAAACTATTTTGTTCAGGTTCTACGGTGTGCAAGTTATCGTAAACTTTGAGCACAGAACAAACCGAACAATTTTTAACATTGTTCTAATAAACAGAATTGTCTTAAACTTTGGAAAATAATGGGATATTCCCTGTTATTCCGGAAAATAACAAAAAATATATATAGAGTCCCGTGCAAAATTTGAGGGATTTGCCCTTTTGAAGTTCAAAACGTGTATGCATGGTTCTTCAATAAAATCTTGAAGAGTATAAAGCGGTTTTTGAGCGACGCACATTGTGCGCTCAAATCGAATGTTGAAAAGTAGTCAGCCACCTTAAATAACTAAAGAAATTCCTCAAAAACTTGTTTCGTTAAAATTCTTCAAACTTGGGTAAAAGTTATTTTCAAAATTGATCATTTTATAAAACATGTAAGCTTCTTAATACCTTCAAATTGTTAAAATCAGCTTATAAACTTAAAAATATTGTTTTTGAAATTTTAAAATAATAGAAATTGAAATTCGTATTGCACATGCGTGTTTTAATGACCGCTGCTGACAAGTCTCGCTTGCTTTGCATATAAAATACAATTTTTTGTAAACATATTTAAAAAACTCTCATACGCAAACATATAGAGAGAAACCTGTAAAGTTTTGTACAGGTAATTTATTATAATTTTACAAAGTTATTATATTTTTACTCTTCTCGTTTAATTTAAAAATAAAATAAAATTCAAGATTCTCATTTGTCATTTTGAATTTTTTTTTTTCTCGATAATTATGAAAAATTACCATGGAGATATATTTTGATTCAAGAAATTCAGAGGGTTTTTTTTTTAAATTTTTTTATGTTTTTATTTTTTT